CGATATGACCCCAGCCAGAGGGGCGACCACACGACTGTGCCTCTCGCCACACAATCGCCGCTTCCTGTATCATGGCCTGCCTACCTCCCCGCCTGACTTGGCCCATTGACCTGCGCGATCCACGGGGCTCGGTTCTGCCAGGGACATCGTCCGGAGCTGTGTGATCGGCTTCTTGCGGAGCTTCCCCCCCCCTTTTCTCGCTTCGGAAGGCCATCCAACCGCTCACTGAAATCCTTGGCGTAGACAAATCCGCCTTCATTGTCCTTAGACTCGGGCGTTCTAGCGACAGACCTGCCATTTCAAGCGGCGCAGCGATATCCCGTCGGCCATCGGCCACTAGGATCGGCTTGTCAAACTGTTCCGCAAGCAGTTCTTCTGAATACAGAAAGCGGTAGTTCCAGTCCCCAAGTTCTAAGTTATGCACATGCTTCTTTCTGATACCCCGGAGCTCCTCAAGGATCTCTTGCTGTGTTGTCGTGTAGTAGCAACTCTGTATTTCTCTTTCCACATTTCCTATGTCTATCGGTCTGATGGGTTTCACAGCTTCAAGCTGGTCTCGAATCATGTCGTCGACTTGCGACATCGTTACGCCAGGCTCCAAGTCAGGAGTGGGATCTACCATCGCCTTGAAATCTACCTCGAATCGGCGTGAATATTCCGAGTTGAAGACCCATACCTGTTGCTGGTTTGCCTGACACGGTGTCGTAAGGCACAGCCGCATCGACTGCTTGACAATCAGGTCTGGCGCACTGCACACGCATTATTTTCCCCCCTTTGACTCCGAATCGGTCGGTCGAAAACCCCCTCGATGAGCCGGCGGGGAGGCGAGCTTGAAGTCCACGGTAACGATGTTGCCATCACTCCAGAGCTCCGCACCGCGGCTGTAACTCTGGCGGAGGTGATGGATCGAATCGCTTTCATGGAAAGCATACACGCCCTCAGCGGGAGCTTTATATTTTGCTGTATTGTCCGTTTTCGCCCTCATACCCCACTTTACCCGAGTAAGAAGAAACACACCTGCGTTCAGAATCGCGAAGAGCTTGCGGACGTCGGTGGCGTGCGAGTAGGATTCCCATACTTCTTCCTCTATAAGGTCATGACCCAGTCAGGCAGTCGGAAGGGAATTTCCGACACCGTGCAGAATTCCTTCTCAGTGCACTTCACCATACTCCAGTCGAACAACACAGAGCACGATACATCTGGTAAACTCGTCGTGCGTAGTCGTCGCGGTACCAGGTATTCGATTGCTCCCCTTGTGCAGTATTCTGCCCTGATTAGCGGGGAACGTGCGAGACGCATCTTCGTCGCCACCCAATCCCGAGCATCGATCCGTCCCTTCGACGCTTTGCACCACTCATCAGGGTCGAAAAACGAATCGACAAGGTAGAACTATTCTATCCGATTTTCGGGCTCGCGCGGTACAGGCATCAGTTCATAGTCAACGACCTGAGTATGATCAATTATCGTCCCGATCGGCAGCAGAGTGTCCGATCTGTCTCTTTTGCCGACTACCGCTGCCTTCTGATGCTCCTCGCATGCGAAGAAAAATCAGGCCATTGCACCCCAACCTGCCCGAAAACACAGACTATGTGTTCCTCTCGATTCTCGATGGTCGAATGTTGTAGGACGCTCTGTATAATTCTATCCCACAGAGGCCTGCCAACAGCGCCCGCATTGTCGGACGTTGCTGTTGCAGCAGCGGACGCTTTTGCTGTGCTTACCTTCGGCGTCCCATTCTTGATTGCTTCGATCACTTTCTTCATACCTTCGTCTGTAGGTAGCACTTCCATATGCGATCCTGCTTCTACCTCCACCCCGTAGATGTCGACATGGTCGTTGAACGGCACCGTAGTGCATCGCCTGTCCGCCCACGCCAGTCTGTCGTCATGGTGCCCTTCCAGCCATAGCGCGAACTCCTTAGAATTGACGTTCACAGAATCGGGCGGCAAGTACTGGGGAGCTCCCACGTCACCGAACGGGAATATTTCGCCCACCTGGCATCTCGTGAAACGCCCCTGAGTAAATGCTACATCTTTTATCATGGGTACTTCCACGCCTGGGGGCTTAGGCATCGGCGCATTGGCCGGCGGTGGCGGCGCCATTGGCGGTGGCGGCGGCGGCGGGGCAGTTGGCGGCCCGGCGCCTTGCGGCCGTTCAACGTCATCGAAGGACGGACAACAGAGTTCGTAGCAGACCTTCGTAGCGTTTACGATATACTTGGCAAAAGTCTATGGCGTATGAGTAGTTGTCGATGCCTGGTGGAAAGTGCCAGTTATCGTTCTCCGGATGCTCTCCACGATGGTATATCTCTGAGCCGCGGAGCATGAGCACCCTGGGGCTATAACCGGCCTCTTGGTAGAGGTGCATTCGATTTGGTCCCCGCGCACATGTGCGAGATGCAAGAGTGCCCCGAATGGTGCAGTCTGAACTGGTCTTGGCTTGATTACAGCTTTCACCATCGCCAAGGGCGAAGAACACCAGAATTTCGCCGGTAGCGTTTGCGACGTACGCCTGTTCGTCAACGACGTCATCTATCATCGACAGTGCGTCTCTTTCGACATCGTCGTAGTCTGACAGCGTATCTTCTCTTCTGGCTCCCTTGACTCGCCGTTGCTGGCCTTCACCGCGAACGCATAATTCATTGCCGTTCCATATCATGGCACGGCAACGAGTCTCGCAGCTCCCCGGCGGTGGGGTCCAGTTCATTGAACGGATGTTCGCCCGAATGTCATCCAGTTTTGCTCCGTTGTAGATATCTGCATTAGCTGCGGTTGACCTGTTCCGGAGCCCTTCCAGGAGAGCGGCTTTCAACGCGGCGGCCCCATTATTGTTGACAAACGCTATCGTAGAGTCAGAGGAGATCATGTATTCCACGTCATTATATTGCCGATCACTCTCGCCCAAGCCGGGCCCCATCTTGCGGTCCCATGTCCGGGTCGGAATGGGCTTGTACCATGTTGAGAGTGGCACGTCAAAAACTGCATAGAGGTAGATAGCCTCTCCTGAAACGCGGGAAGAGATTCCCGCGGCCCTGATGAGACTGCTCAGCGCAGCGCAAGCCTGCGGGAAGCTTAGCCTGGCGAATGATGTCACCGCTCCGGGTCGGATGATGCAGGCAAGCGCTTTCCCGATTGAGTCGACCGCATTGTGGTATTCGAGCCTCGGTTCGTTGTTCGGAAATATTTCCATGTCCATGCGAGGATCTGGCCTTTCTGCCGATTTGAACCATTCGTGGCAATACTCCAAGGCATTCCAGTAATCGTGGATGCCCGTTCTATCAGCGAGTGCACATATTTGATGTTTCTTGGCCTTACCGTCGTCATTACCCCTTGGGCCGGCAGCCATTGGCTGCTGTGGCACGGGATCTGCAGGGGCGTCGTAGTTGTTATTCGGGACTCTTCGGCCCTGTCCTTCATTGCCGGGCGCTTCGTAGTCCATGGCATGGGGCCACTCCTGCGCGCCCGCGTCCACCTCCATCGGGACTGGGGTCCGGGTACCACCGACGACATCGTCGCCAGGTGTCTTCGTTCCACCTTCCAGCGTCGGGTCTGGCCCATCTTCATCACCAGGCGGCGTGTCTGTCCCCATCTCTTCATCTGGTGGAACGGGGACATCCTCGGGACGTCTCATTGTCTCATCACAGTCATACTCTGAAAGGCTTGGCGGCAACGAGGCGACCATCGGCGGTGACATGGGAGCCGGTCTGTGCTCGTCGGCTGCCGCAGAAGCGCCAGCTTCTGCACTTCGCTGTTGCTCAGTTTCAGCGGCCCTGCTGTCCTCGCACATCTTTTGTTCCATCTCTCGACGCCACTTCAGCCCCTGCGATTCGCTCGCGGCGTAATCGCCTGTGGCCTGCTGATCCACACCGCCCAGGCCATGGGCTGGAGGGCGTGCCGGAACCTCCTCTTGTGTGGGAGTACCCGTCGCCTCTGGTTGTTCTTGGCGTAGGCGATCCTTCATGCGTAGGCGCTCCTGCAGCCCCTGCGAGTTCTCGCTGGCATAGTCGCCAGGTGCCTGCTGCTCTCGACCGTCCGCGGCACCCGCAGACGAAGTGCGCGGCGGCGCGGGAGGTGCCTTTTTCAGCCTGGGCTGCTTCTTGGGCGGGGGCGCACCGCGCCCCCCAGCAGACTCATACTTGCCCGGCGGTGGCGACGAAGGCGCTCTCTCGTCGGTCGGTCTTGGCCTGAGTCCAGGCGGCGGTGGCTTTGCCTTCGGCGAGCTGGGAGGCGGCCCCTTGCTCGGCGGCGTCTGCGAAAGCATTTCATATGGGTCGCGCGCGGCCCGCGGCGGCGCCGGAGGAGGTGCCACCCCCTTGGGAGGCGCCTTGCACGGAGGGGCGCATCCCGGCGCAAACGACTTAGGTCGTCTGCCTTCACCTTGGGCACCGGGGCCCGGGGTCGCACCCGGAGCCTGCGGCTTCGGAATCCCCCCTTCGCCATGGGCTGGATGGGAAGGCGGCGCGCCGTAGGCCGTAGACCTCGGCGCTCTCCCCTCGCCATCGGCGGGGTTGAAGGGCGGCACGCCGGGAGCCTGAGGCTTTGGAGTACGCCCCTCACTCGGTGCATTGTAATCCGGGGCCGCGCCGGGAGCCGGAGGCTTCGGCTGGCCCTCCAGTCTTGGCTGCCAGTATGGCGGTGGCGCCTTGGGAGCCTGAGGCTTCGGCGGGCGACTCTCGCCCTGGTCGCAGTACGATGGTGGGGCCTGAGGAGCCGGGGGGGCCGTCGGAGCCCTCGGCGGCGCCCTCTTGGGCGGCTGCCCTCCGGGAGGCGCTTTGGGCGGGGGAGACGGCGGCCCCCTCGCCCTGTGGTCCCGGGGCGACTGCCTCGTGCCATCTTCCCTCGTACGATTCCAGCGATTCGGTGGGTCGCCTCTTTCCGATCGTTCACGGCGTGCCGATGGGGGGCAGCTTCGCGCAAAATGTTGACGCGCCTCGCTGTCTCCTCCTGCAAGACTCGCTGTCGCAAATTGAAGCATGGCAACGGCGCTGAATACAGGGGAGCCGGATCGAAGTCGAACTCAGGCAGCCCCTGATCACGCCCGTGGTCGGGTTCAGGCGATATGTAGTCAGCCCGCTTCAGCCAACCGTTGTGAACAAGGCTGTCCTGGAACTCCACTATGTACTCTTGTTTGTGTGATTTCCGGCGCCCCTCCAGCGCTACGCACGGCCATGGGTCGCGTGACCATGCCGGCCGCTCGCTGGGACCCTGGACTCCCAGGTAAGTCTTGCACTTCTTGACATGCCCCTCCAGGTCTTGAAATGTGGCGCCCTCGTATGAGGTCATGAACGAGATTTCCCGCAGCGGCATCTTCCTGCAAAGAGGGCTGTTCCGAACAGGCCCGTTCTCCCTCTGCGGATAGCGCGCAACTCCCCCTGGTCCAATCGGGACGCGAGCAGGATCGCCGACCCTTCCAGTCCACACGACATCGTCGGGCATCGTGGCATGAATGGAATAAAACCGATCGGCGATGCGCCTCCGTGGCCCATTGGGCCTGCACTGACCCACGTGGCCCCAGACTTCACGCTCGTAGAACCTGAAGAATTCTCTTGGAGACATTGTCTCCAGGTCCTTAAGCAATCGGTCAATTGGCTCCTGAAACCACGCTCGTAGCAGAGACTCATTCTGTGCCGGAGTGAGGAACGGCGGGGCGATGCGGTATTCTGCGTGCGCTTCAGAGCCCATCCACGGCGCAATCACCACAGCGCTTAGGTTATCAACCTGGCGATGTCCGCCGTACTCGCGCGGCACTTCCCAATTGGACTGTCTTCCCCGTATTACGGGCAGATGTTTGCCTTGCGCGTAGGGCTCGAGCCCCACGATCCAGGGAATGTTGCCGGCGCTGGCGGAGTTCCATATGGCTTGGTAGACATCCTGCGGGATGTCCACTGTTGGCTGGAATGATGGCTTCTCGATCATTTTTGCCAGCAAGCCAGGCTGGTCGAGCCCATCATTCTCGAACACCCTCCGCTTGTCTTGATGCAGAGCAAAGAATGCCTCGCGGAAGTGATTTCCGACGTCTTCACCTGGGCGCATCCCCAGCAGCTGATATAGATTCGGGGTCTTGCTCCATGGCATCGCGTGTGGGGCGAACACTCCCACACCCCTTTCCGACTCGAGGGCGCCGCCGTGTTCATTACTCTCGTCTGCACCTTGAGCGGCACGGAATGTGAACAGTTCTGCATTGCCCCAGCGGCCGCGCGGCAACGCGCATCGCTGCGGGCGCCCCAAGTCATAGTCCATTGCACTTCCCGCGGCGTAGCGGCGCTCGAGGTTGCGATTACCCAGGACTTGCTTCGCGAGGCCCAGAAGCCCGTACATCTCCTGTACGAACGCATTGAACTTGCCAGAGTATTTCATGTCCTTGTCCTGCAGGATGCGCTTGATGGGCTCGCATCCGAATACGTTCGGGCAATCTTGTCCATTCTGGAACATTGTTCCCCAGAGCCCGCACAACCCTCCGTGAGTGATGCAGGACATTGTCCTATGCTCGCCCTTCAAAGGTAGTCCCTTGCTGATGTTGAGGCACCCGTTGCCCCTCTTCACGTAGCTTGCGGACCTGCGGGGTCCACGACCGATGGATGATGGCGCAGCGAGGGCGCCTGAGGTTTGTCTGCAAGTCGCTGGCAAGCAGCAGCGGCGCGCGCAGGAAGTCATGGCCGGCGAAGCGGCCGCGTCGGGGGGCTGCGCCTGGGCCGCGTTAAAAGCCGAAACAGCAGCGGCCAAAGACACTCCAAGGCGCACAACGGCGGGTGCAGCATTAGCGGGGGCGCGGCACCTTGAACACGTGCTCATCTCACTCGCAAGAACCTGCCACACCAACGGATGCACACGTCTCGCAAAGTCATCAGTGTAATCTTCCGCCTGCTTGCAATGCCTTCCTCTCGCTTCCGCATGCCTGTGGCTCCCATCACACCTACGTATCAAACCTTCGGCCATCATGCTAGAGGACGATGCAATACTCCATGGCTTTTTCATGCACGGCCCCTTGCTGTTCTTAAGACCGCATTCACATCCATGAAGCATAATTTTCGTCATTTTGTATTTATCCAATAATTCTTTCACTTGTGGATCACTCCAGTATCGACACGGGGTCGGCCACTCCAGACAAATCTGGCCCTTTCTCTTCATAACCTCTTGAGCCAAATCGCGAGCTACCCATAAAAAGTGCCACGAGCCCCTCAATTTCTTGAGGGCTTTTTCGTTACCGGATCGGTAATACATGGCCTCAGTCACGCATTGCCATGGTGACCCGCCCGCACACGGCATCGAGATCCACAATGTTATGCGTCTGTCGGTGGCATGGCCTTTACACCTTAATTCTTTTTCACGCTCTATTATCGTGGCCACCGCGAGCGCTTTTCCTTCTTTGGTGGTCATATCTTCTTTCTCAGTCAGACGCACCACCTTACAATGACCGCCAGGTATGAGAGCTTGGTTTCCTAGCCGACTGTTAGGTCCGCAACAAAATTATACGAAAAGGCGTTGTCGGGATCTTTCGCTGGAACCTGCAGCGGCATCAGGAGCGGCAATCATAGCATCGCTATTCGTTGCTCTCCGTTCAATGTCGGTATCTTGGCCTATCTCTTGATCGAATGACTGGGCCTGTACCTCTGAACTGCTTGCCTCACTGCCAGTTATCTCGAACAGGGCCATCATCTCTTTATTTTGTCTTATTCTCTTGCACAGGGTGTCTAGAGCTCCGACCACTTTATTTCGGCACCCCCCCCCCCCCCCCCCCCCCCATCATAATCACCATCATCATCATCATCATCCACATCATCATCATCATGCGCCCCTCCGTCTCAGCGCCCTCCCGCGGCTCCAGCGCCCGCCCAGTGCCCCCTCCGCCCCGACCACTTTATTTCGGCACCGCACCCCCCCCCCGCTCCGCCCCCTCCCCCGCGCCGTCTCAGCGCCCCCCCGCGGCTCCAGCGCCCGCCCAGTGCCCCCTCCGCCTCGACCACTTTATTTCGGCACCGCACCCCCCCCCGCTCCGCCCCCTCCCCCGCGCCGTCTCAGCGCCCCCCCGCGGCTCCAGCGCCCGCCCAGTGCCTCCTCCGCCCCGACCACTTTATTTCGGCACCGCACCCCCCTCCCCGCTCCGCCCCCTCCCCCGCGCCGTCTCAGCGCCCCCGCGCGGCTCCAGCGCCCGCCCAGTGCCCCCTCCGCCACGACCACTTTATTTTCGGCACCGCACCCCCCCCCCGCTCGCCCCCTCCCCCGCGCCGCTCGCGCCCCCGCGCGGCTCCAGCGCCCGCCCAGTGCCCCTCCGCCCCGACCACTTTATTTCGGCACCGCACACCCCCCCCGCTCCGCCCCCTCCCCCGCGCCGTCTCAGCGCCCCACCGCGGCTCCAGCGCCCGCCCAGTGCCCCCTCCGCTTCGACCACTTTATTTCGGCACCGCACCCCCCCCCGCTCCGCCCCCTCCCCCGCGCCGTCTCAGCGCCCCCCCGCGGCTCCAGCGCCCGCCCAGCGCCCCCTCCGCCCCGACCACTTTATTTCGGCACCGCACCCCCCCCGCTCCCTCCTCCCCCGCGCCGTCTCAGCGCCCCCCCGCGTTTCCAGCGCCCGCCCAGTGCCCCCTCCGCCCCGACCGTCCTCTCCCCCCCCTCCTCCTCCACATCCTCCTCCTCCCCCTTCCTTTTTGTGCAAGAGCCATGGCACACGTGCCACTTGTTTTCCGCTGACGGTGAATCCTCCGTTCGTTGCTGACCTCCGCCGGTGTTCCAGCCCGGTTATTAACCCTAGGGTTCGGCGGAGAACCAGCAGGAGGGGTGCCTTTGTTTAGTATGTTTGGCTTTTTTCGTGGCCTTATTACTGGGCATGTTGCCGCCGTTTCGTAGCTTGGACTGCGCCCCTAGCTTCGGCTTGAGAATCCCCCCGGGCTTCAGGGGAAGACCCGCTTCGCCTTCAAATAGCGAGTCCACGCATGGTTGACATGACGGGGCAGCCCAGAAGGTCGGGGCCACGACCTGCACCAAGCACAGCACTTTCACCCACGACGGTGGCTGTTCAAACCTCTTGGTGCCGATGTCGGCGGCCTGATCGCGAGTTGGGCAGTATACCAGGTTTACCGTTCCCCTGGCAAACTGCTCAGCAACGGCAGAAGCGTCGACTCGGTGAGTACGCGGCAGGTGCATAAGCTTCTGTGAACCACCTGCCTTACAGACCTTCACGACGGCTTGGTTGTCTTCCATGAACTCTGCCCTCAGGCTTCGTCCGAGTAGAGTCTCCCACAGTGGGAGCGTTGGCAAGAATTCTCTTCTGAGTGCCTCGTCAGCTGACACGATATCCGCTTCCAGTGTACTGTGGGACACTGCGGTCTGTCGTCGTGAACTGCAGCTTTGAAGCGCTCTTGTGTTGGGTCCCCATCGAAACTGTGTATTGGCACTTGTACTGCGGTGAGTGCGAGTGTCACTTGCCACATCAGCATCTGCGAACTGCTTCAGCCATGCATATTCGCGGCGGTCTCCGACCCAGGACGCTAGGCGGTAGTCCACCGTTGCTTTCAGATAGCAGATGATGCGAAACAGATATATGTCTTGTTGTTCTGTCCACTTAGTGACACAAGCAGCTGTCTTGCAGACTGCGTTCAGCGGATCCGGACGTGCCATCCGTGCCCCATAGAGTATCTTCATCCGTACCTTGGCTGCAATAGGTTGCACTATACCTGATGGGGCCGGCGGCTTGGGATCAGGAGCTGAGTCCCCCATTGGAGGTCCTCCCACGCGTATTTCTGCATCGGGAGGCCCCATAGCAGCATCGATTCTCAAGCATGTTGCTAGGGCCTCTTCGGCCGGTGCCAATAGCTCTCCGCGTGGCCCGCCTTGCCCGTCTTCGAACGAGATGAGTTCAGGGCCAAAGGGGGTTCCCGACAGCGGATACGTGCTTTGGTCAGTGTCTGTGAGCTCAGCGTAGAGTGACACGCAGGACTTGAAGAATTCGGCCACATCGTACTCCATGATTCGTACTTTCTTCTTCAATCCTGGCTTGTACTCTGGTGTCGGAGGTAGCTGTGGCGTGGCGGGTGCCGCACACGGTGGCTCACGCGGCCCGCACTGTTCTGCGGGGCTCTGAGGAGTATAGACTGCGGCCTCAGCATCGCGGTCTTGGCATACCAATATTGCGGCTATGTTGCGTGGGCCATCAGGGAGGGGTGCCCTGAAGCACTTCTCAGCGACGGCTGCGGATGGTGCTACCATCCCGCTCGTGTATTCAGTGTCGTCGAGCTCCTCCCACGTGTCATAGTCAAGGGTAATTATTCGGACGACCTCTCTTCCCTTGGGTCCGCCCGGTAACGACGTGTGGTATCTGTTCGCGTTGGCGTCATATCTCACCCACACGACGTGCCCTTTGGGGACGTGAAATGATCTGTCGCAGTAGATCGGGATCATTGTACCCTGCTGCGTTGCGCCATGGGCGACCGCAGCTGATCGGTGCCCCGCTTCAGCCACGCCATCGGCGTTTTGTCCCTTGGGAGGTGGCGGGTCCAACACAGTTGGAGCGACGCCTTGCCAGGCTATCCATTTCTCCGAAATCCTGTGTTCGCATCAGAGGTATCTTCCCACTGGCGTAGGCGGATCCATATCGATCCCTTCTGGCGCAGTCTTAGACGGGCCCAGTATAAGATTCCATCCTGTCTCCAGGTTTCGAGAGGGACCCGCGCGCTTGAAATCATCAACATATACGATTAAGAACAATTCAAGCTCTGGGTGACAGTAGCAACTTCTCCAGCAGGTTGTCGGTACAAGCCCCTTCGACATGACGTGCGCCTCACAGTGTTGTTCCCAGAATCCAACAGCATCAGGATGCCCGTACAGTGCTAACAGCAGGGGGCATACTGGGTCGATCATGCCTGCCCAGCTCTCAGGCCATGCTTCCTTGGGCAATCGCACCCACGTCGGGGTGCCTCCTAGCTTGAGTGTATGCCTGGCGGGCATCTGCTTGTTTTATGTCGCGCCCCTCGAACAAGCCGTATGTATCGGCAGCTTTGCTTGCCAACATGGTAGCCGGACAGCTGGATAGCTCTTGGAACAGCGTTACGTTCTTGTCCTGATCAAAAACAACTGATCAGTCAAAGACCACTCCCCCTTTGAATTTGCGATCTTTGTGGCCTTCAGGAAGTTCAGCGTTCTTTTCCACTAGAATCGCGAAGAGTCTCCCGATGTGGAAGGTCTTTCCTTTCATATTCGCTTTGACATCGCGGAGCTCTTGGACTTTGGATTCATCCCACGTCTTGATCTTTCTGAGACGCCCCCACTCATCCATCATCGCCTCCTGAGCCTTTCCATTGTTGGCCGCCTCGGCCTGGGTGACAGGTCGAGCGACGCAAGCGTAGTTCATCACCTGGGCGTTGCCCGGCGTCGCTGGAGGAGCAAGAAGTTCTTCCTCTTCACCAGCCAGCACAGAGTCGGTAAATGGGTTGTAGCACGGCATGCATGCCGGCCCCTTCTCCCGGCGGGCATCGCGACCCGCATCTCGCCCGCGAAGGGGCACGCGAGGGACACCGCGACGTCGAGCCGCAGCCGCACAATCAAGCGCCGTGCGATCCCAGT